TTATTATTATTATTATTATTATTATTATTATTATTACGGTGGGTCATTTCAGATGAGGGAAGAAGAACTCCACCAGAGGCCTGAGAAATTCTTTCCAAAACATATTGTAAAGAAGTTGTAATCCATCGATGATTACTATCCATATATGAAAATCCAAATTCTTTCATTTTTCTCTGATTAGTAGTATTATTAGTATTAGTATTAGTTGTTTTTCTTCTTCTTCCTTCTTCTTCCTTTGCAGGGAGTTGTTGTCGCCATTCCTCTTCTGCCGCCAATAAAATCTTCGCACTTCCACTCATCATGGCAGAAGAACTAAAACTCCCACAACGCCGTACACAGCGAAGAAATAATAGATATGATCTATTCTTCTCATTATTCTCTACAATATCCTCTTTTTCTTTTTCTTCTTTTAATTCTTTTTCTTCTTCCTTTTCCTTTTCTTTTAATTCTTCTTCTTGTTGGAATTTATTAGATTGTTCAGCTTCGTATACATAGTTATGTAGAAGAGCCAATCGTCCAATCTCCGCTAATGCAATACACACTGCAATCTCCTGTACATGTTCCCATAAAAGTGGCACATCTTTACTATTCTTATCATCATTATTATTGTTATTATTATTATTATTATTATTATTATCTTTTTTTCCTGTTTGGATTCCCTTTCCATCTAAACTCCCACTCTTTTTATGATCTCTCTTCTCTAAATCCTCACGCCAGATAATATCAGCTCCTATATTGTGTGTATTGTGTTGACTAAACACAGATCGCAGAATTCGTGTACGATGTACTCTTGATGCTGATGAGCCCTCTTCTACACTTCCACGATTATTATTATTATTATTATTATTATTATTATTATTATTGCCATTATCCACTGTACCATCCATGGTGAGAGGATCCTGTAGAGAGGGTGGAATTGGAATACAGTGTGTATAGAGTGAGAGAGATGTCATTCCTCCCTTTCCTCCTCCTCGTGTTTTCTTCTTTCCATCTGTATATTTTATATCTTCTTTAAATGTACGCCAAATAGGAAAATATAATAATGCCAATCGTGAGAGTAAAGATGAAAAGAAAGGACTACGTAAAAGTTGTATTTGTGCATCTTTTCTTGCGCCTAATTCATTTCCTTTTACCTCTCCTCCTTCATAACTCCTTGAATTCTGAGAAACTGTGGATTTCTTTTTATTATTATTATTATTATTATTATTATTATTATTATTATTATTATTATTATTATTATTACTATCATTCTGATATTGGTGTAATAGTGTCATGATATAACTACAAAGCAATACACTGAGAAATCGACCCACCGCAGGAACATCACCGTGGAATGCTAACAAATTAGAAAGAGTGTGTAGTAGTGCCTCTCCCCATCCAAATAACTGTAATGATGATAATAAAGAAGAAGTAGAAGAAGTCGTTGTTCCTCCCTTTTTTTTTATCACTCTTGTTGTTCTTTTTCTTCTCTCTATAGAAGAAGTAGAAGAAGAAGGAACTATAATAGCGTGCTGCATAAGTCTCATCAAATTATAAAACTCTTCACCTGTAAAGAGGGTAAAGTGTACAGGTGCGTACATCTCCGGTGTTGGCCTTGTCGATGTACTCCATGATGGTGTTAACCAGAGAGGCCAATAAGATCCTTTTGTATTCCCTTCTTCCTTATTATTATTATTATTATT